CCTCACCCACTGCTGCCCCTGCTCTGACCTGGGCAGCCCAGTACACTGGGAAGGTAAGATCTGAGGGATCTAATAGCTGCCTAAAACTACTCAAAAACTATTTACTAAGATAGTGAAGGCAAACCCTTCTCCATGGTGTCATATGACATAACAAGCAGCAGCAGCAACAGCAAGAGTCTTGGAAGGTTCAGGATAGATATCAGGAAAAAAGCATCACTGGTAGGTTAATGCAGGACCAGAACAGGCTGTGGAATTTCTGTCCTTGGAGGTTTTCATCACCTGGCTAGAAAAAGTTATGGCTGACCTCCTTTAGTGCTGGCCACAGTTCTGCCTCCAGCAGGAGGTTGGACAAGATGACCTCCAGAGTTCCTTTCCAAGTAACACTGTGTGATTCCTGGGTTTCCATCAGAACATCATTTGCTTCCAGCTAAGAACAGGCACAAGTAAAGGCAGTGCCATGGCCAGAGATAGTGAAACAAGGACATTCAGCACCAAAACCTCCACCTTCTAAATATCAGCATAGGTATAACAATCTGCATCTTAACACTAGGAAACACTGCTGCTGCCATAAGCTGTATTGCTGGACACAGAGGTACCACCCCTGCTCTGCTCAGGTTTGGGTTCTGCTCTGCAAAACTGTAGCACAAGGTGGTACTTCTCAAAAACACCTGAGGTACAACTGCCACTGTCCTAAATCCATTCAGATTTTTCATCTCAGACGCCCTGGAAAACTGAAGTAACAAACAGAAAAATGGTACCTTTAAACAATCTCCTCCCTTATCACACACATTCCTCCTTGAAACCGGCCAGTATTTTTATCTTATCCCTTTAAGCTTCCCAGGCTAAAAAAGTACATGCAGAATTCAATGCAAGTGAAGATGCCATAATCTTGAAGCCAGAGGTAAAAAATTACCAGCACACCATTTCAAATTATGTCTTCCCTAACGCCAAGAAACAAGGCACACACAAGGGCCTGTATAGATTAAATAACCCTGGAAACGCTAAGAAAAAGTAGATATATACAACCCACATCATCCCCAGCATGGGGGCTGTATGGCATATCCTCAGTTGATGGCAAGCCTAGCTTGGTGTGCTCAAGTGGCCACACATTTACTGCAAAGATGAAGCCCATCCCAGACAATGATTTCACTCTCTGCCAAACAATCCTATGAGTCTCATTTTACATGATTTGCACCATAAATCATGGAATCATAGAATGGTTTGGGTTGGAAGGGACCTTAAAGATCATCTAGTTCTACCCCCCTGCCATGGGGGATTTCTGGGACACCTTCCACCAGACCAGGCTGCTCCAAGCTTCATCCAACCTGGCCTTGAACACTTCTAGGGATGGGGCATCCACAGCCTCTGTGGGAACCTGTTCCAGTGCTTTACCACCCTCACAGTGAAGAAATTCTTCCTTCTGTCTAATCTAAACCCACTCTGTCAGCATAAAGCCATTGCCCCTTGTCCTATCCCTACATGCCCTTGACACAAATCCTTTCATCTTATGTTCAGCATCACCACATTAATCCCAGCCATGGGCATTTGATTTTTGCCTGGCCCAGTGGCCGCAGCAAGAGGCTGAAACGTGTCCTGGCACAGCCACACCTACACGTGCCTTGTGCAGAGATGCTGCTCCAGAACTGTCAGAGCATCAGGAACAGCCCCAGTGCTCAGCACAGGGACTGCACCATCTGGCTGTGCCACTCACCTCCAAGCACTGTCATTACCTTAATCTCTGACTCAGAGCAGCTTTGGAGAAAAGGGGCCAGGTCCCCCAGCACCGACTGCAGAAGGAACCAGCAAGAGGTGAGACGCTGATCAAAGAGCAGGTAACAGCCCTAGAGCCCTCCACACACACAGACTGACACCCTCTGCTCCCCCTCACCAAGAAATAAAACTCTCCTTTTGCATGAGAAAATTGGGATCAAGCCCTGGATAATCACAGGAGATAGAAGAAACCCTCATTATTTTGAGGGGAAGGATTTCATCCCCCTGCATATTATGAAACTCAAATTACGGGTGTATTTTACGGTTTACAAGGAAGCCACAAAACTCAAAGTCACAGTGAAGACCCTGTCAATCTTTCCCACCCCCTGTTTTGAAAATGCAGCATTTCACAGCCCTTCTGTCTCATCCAGGCTCCTTTTCCTCTGTCAACATGACCAGAGTTCACTGAGAATCACAATGATAACAGACTTGTATAAGCTATATACTTTGGTCTCTGCCTGCCATTAACCCCTGCTGGGATGGCTAAGTTATTAGTTAGCTTAGTTCTGCCTCAAAATAACATCCAAAAAGTAACTACAGCCTTGCAGCAGCTGTACAATAGTTCTGTACAGCACTGAGCATCTCTAGTTGTTTTGTAACCTTCTACCATTTTTTTCAGTCTTTTACAATCCCAAATGGGTTTTTAAACAAAAAAGTCTCTTTCTCCTGAGAAAAATGAAAAGCAACTCCATTTTCTGTGTAAAACAACAACAAGAGTAAACTGGCAGGGAACAGGGAAATGCATAGCCATTGTAAGTGACAGAAGAACAGCCCACCCACATCATAATGGATTATAAATCTGCTGCTCCAGTAAAGAAGGACCAAATCCTGCTCTGGAACATAAAGCAGAGTTGTTCTCTCAATTCACATTTTATGCTCGCAGCTAGAAACAGTGTTACTGTCTGACACCCTAATCAAATGTACGGGATGTGTTCAGATGGTGAGGACAAAGAACTCGCTATGAGAACTTCCAGAGTTGCAGCAGATACGGCCAAACACACTGATCTCACACAGCAACTTCCCGGCATTTGATGTTCCCAGCCTTTGGTCAAAACAAATATATTAAACATAAGATTTGTCTCTTAAATGTTGCCCCAAGTGAGCAGTGTGTGATGGTCTCAGAGGCCTCCCACATCTTGGACAATCACATGAGCAGTTCTGTCAGAAGCCAGTCCCACCACTGCTGAACACCACCCAGACATCTTCAGAAAACCTCGGTAACCACGGCCTGGGAGAGCACCAGGCTTCAGCTGATCTCTCTAGGAAAGCCCCACAGATGCCTTGTCCAGCTTTCAATCCTGACGCAATGACTAAAGACCAGGAACTCTATGGCTCTGTTTCAAGTTTGTGTCACAGGACCATTGTATTTATGGGTGTGCAAATTGTGGCTTTGAGTCAAAATATACTGTGCCCTTCCCTCCCCCCCAGCTCTAATAATGGACTTACAAAAGATGCTGTCCCATGCTGCCCCTGCTATTAAAGACTTTACAATGGACTATTCATCAAGCAATCCTTTTCCTTCTTTTCCTCAATTATTAAAGCTGATGACTTACACAACTGCACTGCACAGGCTTCCAACACCACGTTTCAGTCTAAGCTCCTTCACAAAAAGAAAAAAAAAAGGCTAAAAATTCCTCTTTAAGAAGCTTTTCATGTCAAATTACACACCAGTCAGTACCTACAAACACTAACAGAACTAGTAAAAAGGTAGACCCAGATGTGCCTGGATTAAATGCTGTCTGAAGCAAAGTAAGATAAGCTTGAAAGCTCTAACAGAATATTAAATGCAGCTCCACAGGTGGTCCAAGTAACTCTCTCCACCTGCTTTGAGTCAGGAATCAGTTCCTTTACATACACACTTGAGTCAAAAAAACCAAACCAACCCAACCCAAGAAAATACCAAACAACAACAACAAAATCCCACCCCAACAAAAAACAAAGGAAAAAAACTCTACTTAAAGAATTTAGAACTGCACCTGAAAAACAACCCACTCCAAAACACAAAGAAGTCTCTAAGTAAAATTGGTTTTATAATACCAATCTTTATTCAAGACTGATTGAAAATAAATACTTGCCAGTAGTTCACTTACTCTGAAAACAGAAATCAAAAATAATCTACTTCATCAGTATTAACCATTTTAAAATTAGCTGATGAGCTCCAGCTTATTTCAAGTACACACAAATTTGAAGGCAACAGAGAATGTCTTTATCATTGTTAAGTGTGTGTATACATACACACATATTGTATATATATCACATATTTTGCTGCCACCTTGTGAACAGTCTCTGCATAGGGAGGTTTGGTTCATACAGACCCAACTCTGCCATCTTTGTTCACATTTAGACCAACTGACTTTATAAAGATACTTTTTCAATGGGTGCTCAATGTGACAAAGGATGGCTGAATCAAGTGCTTAGTGCAGAAAATTTGAAAAGGCTGAGTATGATAGCTCTTAGTCTTCCATGATTTCCATGCACTTGTGCCCCAGTTTACTGCCACAGCCATTATGGAAAACATCACTAAATTCTTTCTGATAAAAATATTGCAGCTTTGCATCCAAGTTGTATGGCTGTCTTCAAAACAGAATAAGCTGGTGTCTGCAAAAAGAATAAAAGATTAAATACATCTCCTGAAATGTTTTGCTTGAACCAGAACGTGATAAGGAATAGTAAGCATCATATAAAACCAAAAACACGCACACACAAAAAAATCCCACCTGCATTTGTAGCCTGACTGACCACAGAGAAAACTAAACTAAAATCTATCAGCTCTGCAGAATATTTCCATTTCTTCACAAGTGTAGGTCAGGAGAAAAATAAGGAGAGAAGTCACACGTTCCTCATCTATTATTCCAGGGAGCACAGAATTTAGTTCAGTATTTCAGACATCCTAACAGGGTTGTGATCACCTACCCAGATGACACAAGTTCCCAGCTGTATGGGTAGCACTTATTAGCCTTATCTTCAAAAATATCTAATCTAAACTTAAATTAAAATTTAAAATTTTGCAGAGGACACCTCTTGGGAAAACACAATCACTTCAACACCTGACATGAGTTCCAACAGATTCAGTTCTCTTCCACAAAAAGGGAAAGCTGTAATATTGCAAGGCTTTCTTATATGGATCTTTGGGAAAGAATAACATTGCACTTACTGCTTCTGCATCGTGCTCTATCCCAATGTCATGGTGCTCCCGTTCATCATCCCGAAATTGCTTTATTACCTTTAAAAAAGCAGGTTATTAGAAATCTACTTTGCAGACAAATCAAGGCAGCTGGTACATAAAACTATCTGCTGTTGACCACTGCATGCACCACAGCAAGCTGAGGTCTCTCAAGAACTTCTCAAAGATCTGAATCTCTAATTCAGGAAGAAATGAATTCTTCACAGTATTCTCCAAAAAAAGTCTTTAAGGCCAAGGTGCTGTTTAATTCTGTCTTTTTCACTGTTTCAAAAAAAACTGTAGTCACAGTAAACTTTTAACAGTGATTAGTTTCACACACACACACAATCCTCACAATCTGAATAAGGAAATTACGGTCCCTTTCTTCTAAGGGGTGTTTCCCTGTAGGCCAACTGGGCTATTTTCTGTTCTAAAGAATTCTTTTTTTCTCTTTGAGTTTTTCAGCTGGGACCAAAAGGCACTGTGTGCAGCTCTGGGCCCTGCAGTTTAATGAGGATGTGAAGGTACCCGAATGTGTTCAGAGCAGGGCAACAAAGCTACTATGCAATCATGTTTCTGCTTTTTATTTCCCTTTCAGACCCTTCCTTTCAATTAAAATTTATCAAAATTAAAGCACAATTCTCCCACTCAAAAGGGAAACACTGAATTACTGAAAGTATGCTGAAGATAACCAACGTACATTTTAATTTTGGTCCTTGATCCATTTAGTGCTGCTGAAGGAAAAAAACATCCTTTTATTTTAAAGGTTTCTGCTGACTTCAGTATTCTAAGTGACAGAACAAAGAGATTTACTGTAAATTCTAAAAGCATGTTATTTTTAAAAGAGTAAGGTCACATTAAGTAATTCAATGAGTTTGTTAAACTACTTTTTAAGTCAGTTAAATACCTGCAGTAGTTCTTTGTACTTTTCTGGATCCTCTTCCATGAGAGTTCGGATCTGGTTGTTGTAGTGGTCTGATATACTCTCTTCCACTGCCACTGTGCAAGCCATGGCACCTTTCTTTCCCAGTAAAGCACTTCCAGCCCCTGTGATTGTGGTGCCAAACATACCAACACAATGAAATCTGAAGCGATACAAATAATTTGCACATTTATAGACTTCACAAAACAATAATAATAAATCCCACCTAAAACAAAACCTGCTACATTCCAGAAAGGCAATAAAACAGTGGGTCGAACTCTGTATGCAACCATGAGCTCATTGAACTTTTTCAGGTGGTCTTTTTCTTGATCCCACATTTGCTGCAAAAGAGCCAGATCGCAGTGAAGCACAAAACCACAGGAGTTAAACTCTTCCAATAAAACTAATAAACACAGAGAAAAACAAAACAAAAGACAACACACTGTGACAGCTGAAGTAACACAGTAACATCACAGAGAAAAAGTGAAGAAGGGCAGAGGAGGACAGTTACAAAGAGGCAATATAAAAATATTTAGCAAAAGAGGACAACACTACAGTACCTGCAGTACTGGTAACTTCCTTAGCAAGTAACCCCACCCCTCTTTAGAAACCCACACGTCTGGACGTGCTTAGAAAGAAACGTACAACAAACTTGCCACGAAAGCGACGACCTTTCGCCTTCATCCGGCCGCTGTTAATCAGACGCAAATTAAACAAGCACAGCGCTCGCCCCCAGGCCCACTGACCTGGATGACCGGCCCCACGCTCGACCTGCCCAGCACGGCCATCTGCCCCGCGTAGATGCGGTTGGCCCCGTACTCCCCGGCGTGGTCCACGCGGATGATGCGGTCGATGACGGGCCTGTCGATGCCCCGCGGAGCCGCCCGAGTGCTGCACGGCCTGGGGGCGGCCCCGCCGGCGGGCACAGCCCGCGGACCTGTGGGAGGGACAACGCTGACACGAGCTCCGCTGCCCCCCCGGGGCCGGGCGGTGTTGCGGGGGTGCGAGGGCCGGGCAGGGAGGGGAGGGGAGCGGAGCCGCGCCCGTACCGGGCCCGCAGCGCAGGCACCGGCGCAGCCCCAGCGAGGGCCGAACCGCCGGGGCCACCGCCACCGCCGCCATCGCGCCCCTACACGGCGGCTCCTCCGCTACGTCAGCACCGCGCGCCGGCCTCCCGCCCTATCACGACTCCGATTGGCTCCCCCGCGCCGCCGGATTGGGCAGCCCAGCTGTCAGTCAGGGCCGGCGTGCCCGGTTGCCATGGGAACGGGGGCGGGGTGGGCGGAGCGCTGAGGGCGAGGGCTCGGACCGCCCGCGGGCACCGCGACACGCCGTGAAACACCGCAGCCCGGAGTAAAAAATACAGCATTTATTGAACGCTGATCTCTTTAAAATGAAGGCAGAAGACATCCCGGAGCGTTACATGAAAGTGATGGTGCCTCACATTTAACTAAAGGGCAGATTTCAAGGAGTTACACACAGTTCTGTACAGAAAATCCTTAACACAAATCTTCGCATAAAGGAATCTCTTAGTAGCCTCCTGGGACTGCCCCAGAAATGCAGATAAGTGAGAAGAAACGTTAAATTAAGGGGCAGTGACACACAGTGTTACCAACCGATAACTCTTAAATATTCACATTTTAGAGCAAAAAGAGCAGTGGTCAAGATGCTCACACAAGAATAAAACACAAATAATAATGCTTTAAAACATTAAAAAGAGGGGAAAAAGGAAAAAGGAAAAAAAATGCCCCTCCACAGCAGCTGGTGCCTGAGCAGGGCTGTTCCTGCTGACCTGGCTGCCTGTTTCTTCCTACACCCCAGTGTTTATTCAGAGGTCTTTTATCACAGTTATTGTTTTCTCTGAGTCATTTTGTGACATTATCCAGTGTTCAACGACACTTGCTACTTCAGAGCGAAAGAAAAATATAAAAACCTCATCTCTAAAAATATTTAGAAAACTGATTTCAAACCCATCTGTGGTATTTTCTTCTCCTATGCGCCGTTTCAAAACACTTGCCTACATCTTTCTTTTGCTTTGGTTTTAAAAGAAGTTTCTTGGAGCATAATTTGTAAAAACAGTACAAAAGAGTTTCAGTTATGATCACATTTTACCCAAACTCCTTGGAAAAATAGGGACTTAACAAACCCCAACAACCCTGAAACTATAGCAGCAATGAAGTGTCCTGCCATACAGTCTTTTGAACAGGTCTCACACAGTATAAATTAGCTGAATTTCCAGTTTTGGAAACTTCAGGCCCTACTACCTTAATCAAGACTAAGACCACAAGCATCCACATTCCATAGTCTGCAGTGCCAGGGTGCCAATCAGATGCTCAATTTTTTGGTGCTGCAGACGCTTCTATTCTTATCTTGTGGTTCTGGGAGTTTCAGGAAGTCAAGCTCTTCTGGCTTTCGTGGTTTTCAAGGTTGCCTCTTAGCTTCTGTTATCTTCCTGATTAGGAACATCTTGTCACGACTCTCCTGGAAAGACAGAATAAAAAGAGTGCTCTAGACGAACAGTGTTAATACAAGTTATCTATGAACAGCTCATTTCTTTACTAGAAATAAACAGGTGTGCTCACTACATTGTACTCTCATTAGTGGCTCCCAGAACACTCTCAACTGCCTGAACAATTTGAAGTTTACAATAGTCTTGACTTCCTTTATCTCACATTACGGCACACATTAACAGTTCTGCATTAAACCTAGCAAAAGCATCTCACACACCTAAAAATTTAAAACTCTACTTCCAAGAAGTCTAAAAACAGCGAGCAAGCAAAAATAAAAAGCACGCAAGAATTTTCAGAATTCCCAACTGATCTGCAAACCCTTCAAAAAGCAGCAAGGCTTTTGTTCCTAAATTCCCTACTCCTCAAAAATCTCTCCCTGGCAGTTTTTTTTCTACAGATGGGTTGTTAAATTCTGTATCTAAAAGAAGCATTACCAAGAAATGGGCTGTTTCCTAAGAAAGTGAGAGGTCTCATCAGCGAGGCTGGGTTCTGACTCGAGCAGTTTGTCAGACCACAGCACACAAGTGCTGCCAAACCTGGCAGTGGCTTTTGCTTTTGATGGCCACAAAGCAGCATTTCTGCACTAGCACCCTTCTCCAAAGGACTGATTAGCAGGGACTTGTTCCACTTTCAGTATTTGCTCAAGAGGTGCTGGGACCTGCACTCAGGAACGAGACCAGACACGATGTGGTAGAAATACAGGCCTGGAGGGAAGGGTAGGGAGTCAGGTACCTGTTTGTGAGGGCAGAGAAGGAAACAGAAGTGGGGGTTGTGCAAGGTAGTGGAGGGGACAGGAAACACAAGATTCAGGTTCTCTTTTGGCAGAAAAAAACACACGGATGGGTGGATTTAAGCAAGGCAACAGATGAAAAACAGAGACACAGCTTCTCAGAGGCCTATCTCTTGCATGTGCATTGCCTGATATAACCAGACCATGGTGCAGTTGCAGCTGATACCCAGGAAAATGAACTCCACTGAGAAATACCCTGATTGTTTGGTTATTTTTCCTATGCAATTTGTAAAACATTCTCCACTGCCTGTGCAAACACCAGCTATCCAGAAGACCATACAAATCGCTGTTCCTTCTGCATGCCTCATTTCTGTGCCCCCAAAGTTCTCTCTGTTGCGTCAGTAAACTGGGTCAAATCTCACCAAAGCCAGTTGTTCTTCCAGCCGCTCAACCACTCGTTTGTGCGCTCCAGCCAAGGCCATAACATAGAACATAACGAGGCTGCAAACAACAAACACGGTATGTCAGCATCATGCAGAACCCCATCCGTCACAAAAAGGCTGTTATGGGCTAGAGAAATGGTGAGTTTGTGGGTTCAGATGTTGGAGAAAAGAAACATTTTTTAAAAAGATCAATATGCTGCTGGGGTAGGTTGGGCACAGCTCTGCTCAAAAGCATCTGCTGAGAGATTTGTGCTGCCAGCAGGCAGGGCGTGTGTTAGGGAGTGCCAGGGGACGGAGAGGCACAACACAGATGTTACAGGCTGCATCCTGACAGCTCTGTCTAGACTGCCAGTTCCTGCCCTGCTCCAAGTGTATGTATAGGGGCGGTTGTTCCTCAGAAATTAAATTTAATGAGGCTTCACTGGAGCAACTCTGCTCTCACTGGGGTTTCTAACTAGAGTAAGCAGCCACAGATGAGTTTGGCAGCCATTCCTTATAGCATATATCCCAGTGTGACTCTGTGACTGATTATCCACAGTGCATTAAATGATGGAAAATAGCAAGAACCTGAGCGGTAGAAATGCCTATAGAAATCATGTATTTTCTTTTCCAAATAATAAGCAGTAGGGTAGTAGTGCAAGTCATCCTTCACCTTTTACACCAGCTTGATGATAAAGTAAAAAAAGAAAGGAAAAAAACAAACAAAGAGGACTTGAGATTTCCTGTATACGTAATAACAGGTTCAGTTCAGGAGAACACAAACATGTGCTATGAGAGAAAGGGCTGGGTGGAGTTCAAAATAAACTGCATGGTTTCTCATGTGTACAAGTTGTAGAAAGCACCAGGTGACCTCTAACCTTAAAAATTTTATGATTCTATATTGAATTTTATATTACAAAATGACTGTCTTGAGAGTTTTGTTTAATGTTCGTTTGGTGTTTTAAAACTAAGGTTTGTGGATAGGAATTGTGATCACAGAGCACACAATGCTAACTTGCAGAGGATTTGCAGTTATTTTTGAGAAGGACACTGTTAGATGTGGGAAGTGAGAAGAAATGGAAGGGATGAAGATTCATGTGTGCTTTGATGCTTTTGACTGCAGATGAAAAATCTGGTGTAATAGATGTTTGGTATTAGTTCAGTAAGGAAGGAAATGAAGCTGCATAAGTGAACCAGGTCTCCACAGTACTCACCAAATGACCATAAAAAGAGGCACTGCAAAGGCTTCTGATGCCATGCCAAAAAGGACCTGCTGCAGGCCTTTTGGAAATCCACGTATTGTATCTGGAACAATTTCCCACGAAGTGTTAAAATTCCTGAATGGCCCACATGCCTTGGAGGAGGGGATACTGTCAAAGAAGCAAAACAGAAAGAAGATGTTACACCAAAATATAAAGATAAAATAATCCAACACAAGCCCAGCACCATTTTGCCGATGGGGTAAAAGTGTCCTGTGTCTTTAAAACTGTAAGTTTTGTTTATATGAACTGTTATAATCCAATGTATTATACACTATATATTTCATTCCAATTAATCATTCCAAAGTCGTGTGTCTGCTTTTATGGAACTGACAACCTTAGAATGAGTGTCACCTTAAGCTGTCACTTACCTTGCTATGCTGACTCCCACAGGAATAAAAGCCAAGAGGAGCCCAATCAACAGCACAGCCAGGAAGAAAAATTTGGAACTTGATGCCCTGATAGGCTTATCTGCAGGTTTCTGTGTGTGTATCAAACTGATCTGAGGAGGGAAAGCCAGCAAGACTGTTACCAGTACGTTTATATACACCCAACCAAGTATACTTTCCCCACCAGCTGAATTTTCCATTCTCAAACATGCTACCAGCTACCACACAACCACCCTCCTTTGATGCACATGGGCTGAGAAGGGCTAAGACAAGAACACCTTACATTTTGGTCTAAGTCTCCAATTCTGATTAAGAACTTGGTCCAGGGGACCAACCTCATGCACTTGCACAGAGTCAACAGACACATCCAACCCAGCTTGGACTTTCCATTTTGCTTCCAAATTTTTAGCAGTTTTGCAAAATTTTGCCCAAGTTTTCAGCTGTGTTGCTAATATGCAGATTATTACAGGAAAGTGTTGTAAAGTAGCTTTAGTACATAAAAAAGATTTTATTTAAAAAAGGACAAATAATAATGTAAAAAGTAACTGAAATGGGGTTTTGCTTGATTTCAAAGCAGAATTCTACCTTCACTTAACAGTACAAAACCTATAGAAAATGGAATGCCATTGCCTCATTCCAGTATCCTGCATCCACAGGTGTTTTTAGGGTTTTTTGTTTGTTTTAGATCATATGCATACCTAAATATCTATATTACAGAAACCATAGAGATGTGCTCAGTTTTCTTTGTTAACCATACACCTCCATTACCTTTTTAATGTAAAAAATGATGAAGTATTTAACAGTTGCTATTGCAGGGAGAAGTGGTGAAAAGAAGGTTCCAATCCAGCAAATAGTCTGCCCATAAATGATTTCAAGGACATTGTCAGAAATTCTAAATTCCGGCAATCCAAACCACTGAAGTGGCTTGCAGGAGCAGTGAGTAACTAACAACCTAAAACCAAAGAATATCATTAGTCCTAAATTTAAGTTACAGTGCTTAGATGAATTCTAACGCATTTGGAACACACAGAATTTATCATTTAAGCATTAGACAACAGAACAGAAAATATCTGAAGAAAAAAGATTCTCAAATATCAAAAGCTACACAGTCACCTGAATAACAAATACGTGCTCAAACCACCAGAAATACGTTTATGTGTATTTTAAAGTTGGTAACCTGGTTAGAACTAAGAGGAATTAATAACAAAAAAAACCAAAATATGTTTCATATGTCATTTGCAAAATATGCTCCAAAAGCAGAGATACTTACTTTCTAGGAAAGTCCACAAACAGGGTCACAGCCAGAATTATAATAAAATCAAATATCATCAGTTTATACATTTCTTGTCCAACGTCAGATTCCCAGCACTATAAAAACAAGTCAGGAAAAACAAGATTAGCAGTCTAAATAACAAGTGAAAAATAAATCTGTCCATCACTAAAGCAACAGCTGTCTCAGCTAACACCATAAAGTTCCAATTAACTCCCATTCCTAAAATATTTAAAGTCTCAGAGCTCCCATGCCAAGCTTTTCACTTGTTTGTTTTGGTGGGTTTTGTTTGGTTTGGGTGATTGGTTATTTTCTCTTTGTATTTTTTTTGGAGGGAGGGGCGTTGTTGAGGAAAAACCATTTGCCTTATTGGAGCAAAAAGCAGTGGCACAACTGTCTCCAAAACACAGCCACCTCAAACAATACTCAAGGTAGACAGAAAATCTATGCTAAATGATCATCTGCCACTGGACTAACTCCAAGTTTTAGACAAACAAAACATCCATGTAATAACTGTACTGGTTTGCACTGAGCAGTGAGAATCAGCACCTGGGACAACATGAACGGCAACCCCAGGGCTGATACTGAACACCTCTAGACAGGCAACTCTCATGGAAAACAAATCCTCTGTTCACAAGCTCAGATGATTAAAGACCAAGATAAATCTGCTTACAGGATAGAGTTTGTAATTGTATCCACAGGGCTCACACTTGTCAGCAGTACAGTCAGAGATCTGACTCCACAGAGAGAACAAGAGAACACCAATATTGGCCAAACGCAGGAAGACACACCTGGAAGAAAGGCAAAACTTATTTCCAAACCTGCCAAAAGAGAGCCATGCTAATGCTTGGCTCACTTTGCACAGGAGTCCAAGACAGCCTTGGAACACAAAAGGGTCAAGCAGAGCTTTAACAGAACAGCCAGATAGATAATAAACACATTTCTTTCCTTAATAGTAAGTTAAATTGCTTTTCACTCTCCCAGCTTTAGGCTACAGTCCTTTGTTTCTTTTCTCAATGTGGTTCCCGGATCAGTCATTTCAGTTGCAGATCTTCATGCTGCAATGGGTTGCAACTCTCTCAAGTACAATTTGGGAGGCCAGGTGACAATTCTGTGAGCAGCGTTTCCACCTCATGTAGCTTCAGACCTTCTGAGGCACTTCGCCAAATCAGAAATACAAAGGACAGGCTTGGAGAATTCAGATGCTTCAGCCCAGGTCTCACTGCCTTAAGCAGCCAAACACCAGTTCTTCATGGTCTCACACGGAAGTATCTTTTACCCCAAAACTTTTAACTTCTGCCTTGAGCAAAGCTGTGCTTCGATCATTGTTGTACACACCCATCTGCTCATCCAAGGGAACTGCTGCACACAAAGCAGTGGGAATCCACAGCTCTGCAGCCACAAATTCTTTACTGACTATTCAGGTTGTTGAAGATCTCCAGACCACAGAGCTAAATGGGACTGAGAGAAAAACTTGGACATTGAGATGACTGCACTGCACTGTCATCAAAACAGATTGTTCCCAGATGTAACGTTTCCAGCTAAACATTAGCCAAACAATGCCTGCTTGGTTTTCATCACCAACTTCTCTGCTTCCTGATATTTCAATGTTTACAACACACATAACCTACCAAGAACAAGTTTTTTAAACATCCAAGGCCACAACAAAAACATCTTTACCTCACAAGTGTCAGTGTGATCTCAAAGGCTGGTAAAAAATCTTCAAATCTGATCAGAAATGAGAAGATCTGAGGACCAATGAAGTTGGCCAATGTGATCACTATTGAAGGCAAATACTGCACTAAGAGATTAGCCACGAAGTTCGTATTGCTGATGTCCTGCACAAGAAGAGACGAAAGATAATACTTAAACACACCTTCCTGACATCATGCTCTCCCCAGCTACCCACCAGTCTCTCTTGTCCAGCACTCAGGTAGCATCTTTTACTCTGTCTGCATTCTCCACCTACATTTGCACTGGGCAGTAAGAATCAGGTATAACACGAATGGCAAACCCATCTGACTCCAAATACCTCTAGATGAGCAAGTTTCATGGAAAACAAATCTCTATTCTATATACTACAAGCCTGATTACTGCTATCTATCTAGGCAGTTTGCTGCTACACACCCCTGCTTTCTCCTGCTCCCTTGACCAGTAACTCCCTCCACCTCCAGGTAAGAGTATTTCTGTGCTTCCCCAAAGCTTCTGTTTGAAATGTGTCTGACTATGTTGCTAATCAGCACCAAGGCTACCAGGTTTTACACCTACCCAAAGTGTAAACACTTTTCAAGTTCTTCTCACTGCTGCCAAGCAGCTCCCCTGACTTTCCTACCAGCCTGACAAGCCCTTCTACCTGCTCAATTAGGCAAGGTCAGGATACAGACCCTTATGCATAAAGCCCACATTAAGTGAAGCTGTTTTTTAAGTTGTTCTGTGTTGTGCTGTCCTCTTCTCTGCCCTCAAACAATACCTCTGACACAAACAGTTAGTCCCCATTTCCTGCAGTTTACAGAAGTTAAGAGTTGGGTCCACCATGAGCATAACTTTACCCATGCACAGCCAGGCCCATCACATCAGCAACAAACACAGGGGAGAGGAAATGTGCAGTCCCCATTCCTACCAGGCTGACTGAACCCTGGGGTCCTACGGAGAAGTTGCAAAACTGTCATAACTGTTGCTTGCTCTTGCTGTGCTTCTGAACCACTCTTTTCGTCTGCTTGTCCTGCCAGGGGCGAACAACCCCACCCAACCTGATTCTTTCCCCTACTGAGGCAAGAACCTTTGATTTTGAAAACTTCTCTGTGTTCAAAGCCTTCCTGTTTCCCCACGTAGCGGTAACTCAAGTCACAACACAGATCACAATCTCTGCTCTGCCTTCCCTTGCAGTGCAGTTTCACAGTGAATCAAATCACGTGATGTTGATCACCATGAAGTTTGCTTTAAGCAGATCAGTTCCCTCAGCCAGTTCACTGCCCAGACCCAGCAGGTCACAGCGAGGTGAGCACAGTTACATGGGAAGGGTGGTGAGGGCTGCTCTTCTTGTCAGCTGCCTTAGCTCCAAGGCACCTGACACCAAAGCCTCTGCAGCAAAGGGAGACATTACTGGGTGGTTTTTTTTCTTTATTTGCACATGGTTCTTGATCTTTGCTGCTCTCTCCTACTAAAAAGAATTGTAAGTCTGTACAAAGCATTTTCAGATCCCTTGCATAAAAGGTGCTATATTAAGATACTTCACTCTTTCACAATAGTTCCTCTTGCTGTAATCACCAGCCTCGACTGAATCTGTCCTAATGTAATTTCTGATACTCACATTGGACTTTTCTTGAGAGAAGACAGTTACTCTATAAATAGAATAAAAACATCCTGATAAAATGGCAATAACAATTATATTTATAAATATTCTCAGAGAGTAGATGCGTAGCTTTTCTTTTATTGTCCTGTCAGCTATTTTTTGCTTCAGTCTTTCTTCCTCCAAGTCCATCTACAAACAAAAGAAAAAAAAAAAAAGAGATGCAGTTTTCTGGTGCAGCTACAACACCTGACACCACAACTTCTACCTCTGGGATGTGCAAATCCATACCCTGTTCTAGGAGGGTCAGTCCACCACCTGCCCAAGTACACAGAAGTGAGAGTGCCTTTTCATTGACACAAAAGGGTCCACACAGGAATGAAAGTCCCTGTGTGCTCAGCCTCCTCAGGCTGAGGGCCCTGCAGCCAAAGACAAGTGTCTTGCAATCCCCTTATCTTTGCTAGACCAGTAACATATTTCCTTGAGGGCAGAAAGACAGTTTGCCTGTTCATCGTGATAGACAGATCTCAGATAGCTTGGTATTAAACTCTGAAACGACTAAAGCAGCTCCCCCACCTCATTACTTCTGCAGGTAAGTAACCAGTCCTCACCAAAACTTCCTTCTCCTACTCATTGTGAAGGAAAATTGAGGGGTGGCACAGAGAGAAGGAAGTACAGTCTTGAGCAGCTTGTCATGAAAACTTGACATTTTTCGCCTTATCTCATGTGAAAATACAGTATTGCCTGTGAAGGCAATTTAACCTGGGCAGACCCACACATTACCCAGGTATTTTCTGAGGATTTATTTCCATTGAACAGCAATATTAAGGGGCAAGTTCTTCCAAAGTGTGAGTTCTAGAGACAAAAGTGTGGTAAGTAAAGGAGGTTCTAGTTATATGATGAAAAAAGATGGCTGTGAACTTCACTAGAGCAGAAAGCAACTCACTGTAATTTATGAAAGCTGTAATTACTGCTTTGTGGTTTGCAGTGGAAGTGTCTTCTCAAAGGTAATTGTTTCACTACACAAATCTCCACGTCGAGTGTGTAGAGAGCAAAAAGAAGGTACTTGTTTCACCAAAAAAGCCTTTCAGACTCTCTTTTCAGAGCTTTTGGGAAATCTGTAGCTGCATCAGCATTTTGTATGTGCATGTGTGCCAAAGACACCCAGTGAAAAATCTTTCAGATACTTTCAGTATCTTCTTACACTCTCAAATTGCATGAAGAGTACCATCTGAGCTTTACTCCTCCCCAAATAACTGCCTACCACGTTGCAGACTTAAAACCCAGAGCGCTCAAACTGATTCCTGACGGTAGAAGGGTTTTGCCCACAGCTGGGACAGCCTTTCCTGTTGGACTGTGTAGAAACTAACACAGGAAGCAGGACTGAAGTGTGAGGAAGAGGTAGATAAGACAAGCAGCCAACAGGTTGGCCTCAGTCCCCAGTGGAAGGGGGAAGGGCCGACAACCCCGATTCCAACTACCTAGAAAGCAAGAGGATGTGGGCTGCCCCACCCCCAAAACAAACTGCTTTAGTCCTTATTAACCTTATTCCATTATATGCAAAATTACACACCTCTCTATTTTAGCCACCTAAGCCATAAGAAACCATAATCACAGAAAGGTGAAAGTTACTCACCTGGAGCTCGTATCGCAAGCTGCGATGTTTCAGCCGAGCTGCATTTGGATCTGTAATGCAGAAGTCCCAGCCTGCAAAGACTTTGTTACAGTAAGTCTGAAATGGGTCTGCATTATGCACTAAGCTCTGCTTAAATCCTTCCACAGACCTAGAGAAAAATGCAAGTTTATATAATTCATGAGAAGACATATTTTATCCACAGCAAAAAAAACCACACTGAAGCAACCTGGCTGATCAAAGACTGAACTACCCCCTCTACGAGCAAACTGCTGCACTTGCTTTGCATCAGCAAGGCACTGGGAGGCTTTCAGTGAGAGGTTCTGCAGCAGCTGAACCTGAACCTGACTGGCCCAGGTTACTTCCCCCTGCACTCAGACACAGTCACACCATCCCACCTCACTCTTCTCTGACACTGCAAAGAGCTGGCTCAGAAAACTTGAGAGGGTGAAAATAAAAGCCACAACCAAAAACCCCAAAAGAAAATCCCCCAACAACTACTGCATAGTTGAGGGCCTTTTATTTATGTGTACATATGAAAAACTGATACTTCAAAATTTGTTGTTGTTGTTTTGTTTGGTTGGTTTTTTGTTTGTTTGGGGTTTTTTGTTGGCTCTGCTTCTCAAGCACAGACAAAAGCTACTGTGGCACTGCCTCCTCAAGAAGAAGATTCTCTATTTCCATATAAACCAGTTCTGGAAGGCAGTATGTTCCCTTCCAGTAGGAATACAATGTAAACTGTGCAGTAGGTAGCAGTAAATAAACTACACCAACATCGTTACCTTTTTATTATCCAGAGGAGACTTAATGCAAGGTAGGCAAATGTAGCCAGGAGGTATGCCAGGGGCAAGTTGTACCTCATGACACTGATCCACACAGCATCTACTGCGTAATAGCCATAGAACAATCTTGTCAGTTCAAGGAATCCCTGGGAAAACATGAATTTGAAACAGAACTTGTAACAGCAGCAGCAACTGCCCTGTTAAATCCAACCCGGCATTAAGCAATCATTTTGTAAATTTAAAATCAGGGCTCCCAGCAAGCTACAGCAGTCTGTAGCTTCTCAATATTGCAATCACTGCGTGATTAGAATCCCTCCCCTCTCCAGTCAAAGAGCTCTAGGACACGACACTGGGACCCTACACAGAGAGCACAATAGGCACTGTGCTCCAGAATACATAAGGGTTTAGCAGCTGAGGAGGAGAGGCCAGGCTGCAGCACATGGCCAGCCAGGCCTTGTGGTTGCTGAGCAATTAGTCAGTTTGAAAACTCCCTTTCTCACAGATAGAGACTAATTTACCCCAGTGATGCATATGCCTTATCATTTTTCAGAATTTTCACTAGTGGAATGAAGCTTTGATATGTTTTCACATTTTAAATGTCATGCAAGCCACAGAAACTTAATTAAAACAGAAAAAAACTAATTACTTACAGTGCCACTGAGCAAATCTTGGAGGTAAGTATAGAAGTAAACAAGTCCCTTATTACCACCAGGTTCATAAATTGTGCAGTTATACTCTGTCAAAAGAAAGGCATGAAAAGTCGCTGAAATTGTAATGCCCACTGAACCGCAAGATCAAACATGGCACATTCTTATAAAAAAGCATGTCTTTGTTCTGGGAGGTGGAGAAGAAGCTCATGAAAAGGGGGAATCTTACAACAGCTGTACTTAGAGAAGATGTTTACCTATGTTCTTTGGAGAAATGTTAGCAATGGTACTGTTGAATATTCCGTAGTCAGAAATGATGGTGGGAAGAGTAACAAAACTGAACATTAGGATAAAAATTATAAAATTCAGCAGGACCAGAAAACGCAGGAAGGAGAAGTAGGACTGGATACCAGTACCAAATGTCCCTGGGAATAAAAAGAAACATGTGTCAATAATTAGGATGAGAAAATAATTGAAAATACAGAATGAGCAGATTATCATTTCAGTTACATTGAATTAACTAAAAAAAAAACATTGCTAAAGATAGTTCTAAGTACTTCAGACTTTTAGCAATATAACTGAAAAGGAAATTGGACTTTTAAATAATTTTCTCCAATATATTTCCTTCTACCACATGGTGGATTTTACACTCAGTAGTAACAAGGGAAGAACATAAACACATGTAGTTATATCTGAAACTACACTCACACGTGTAAAACTGCCAATTACAGAAGCAACTCTGAAGAGGAGAAATCAATATCAGACAACAAATACCTTCAATGCTGTGAATATCACGTCGCCAAAGCACCAAATAAGATGACAACCCCTTGGCTTCACTGAGGACTTTTTTCAATGATTTACTGCTAGCTTTTTTCCACTTCTTCCATTTAGATAAATATTTTATATCAGCCTGCTGAGAGTCCCTAAGAATCAAGAAATACAGTTACTGAGCACAAAAGTAACTTTTCACTGCATGTAAGAGGGCTCAGCCCGACAGAGCCTGCCTGCAGCCTTCAGGGGAGAGCACAGTGGTGGGAGCTGGAGTAACACACACAGACTGTTCCCATCTGGTCCTCCTGGTAATGGTGACATCAACTTCACTCAAATACAGCAAGTTCTCTCATGAAAAAACACTTGCCTCTCTTGGAGGAAAAAAACCCAACCTAATTGACAATAGCATGCACAACACAGAAAAAAATATGTATCTGAACTTCCCAGTGGGATCTCAGGGAAGCTGCCGTTAATGACTTCATATTTACAAACGGCTGGAAAATGAAGAGAAGATTCTTTCCTCAAAACTTCTGAAACTTCTGACCTCAGCATCTCCACCAAGAGGCTCTTAAAAAATTTCTCTAAAATACTTATCTAAAGTATGTTGTGTGGGAAAAAAAAAAAAAAGAGAGAAAGCACACTATAGAGACTTAAATATTTCATTTGGATTTTATAATTCTAACGTTTGTATCACATAACAAAACAAATGTTACTAAAATAATCAATTTTTCATTATTCAGTTTTAATAGGTTTTTAAAAAGTTTGCTGGAAAGTGCCAACTCAATGAATTTTAAAAAGTAGTTTTTGCCACATCTGGGGGTGCACTGTTCTAATAACAAGGTGCAAAAAACCACTGAGGACGTGCCACTGTCCGTAATTTTTAACTACTTCTCACTTATCGATTTTCATACTGTATGCATTCATTTGCATTTTAGAAATTGCTGCATGGTCAGCAACAGCATCAAAGAGAATTCTGAGTGGGTCAGAGTTTGCATTTTATTGTTTCTTTTAAGAAACCTGAAAAATAGACAAAACTTCCCAGAAAACTTGAAGATGGACTTGTATGAGCAAATGCTGTTCCAGCCTCTGATGCCACTGAAAAAGGGCAGCAGTTCAGCACCCATGGACACCGTGCTGGGGTAGAAGATAAAGGTTTCGGTTTTAAAAGACTTTGTACACAACCCTGCTCAAGTGCCTAAGTGATGCAAGTGCCACGCCACTGCCGTGTGTGCTGTTGCCTGTGTGCAGTTGAAAGTAAAACAAGCATTTTGGCAGGAATCCGAATTAAACCTATACACAACCATCAAACAGGCAGCAGATGACCTCAGCTTTAAGTGCAAATACAGCTCCTTTCCAAAGATTTCATTTAGTGCAAACCACAGGCTGCAGCACGCAGAGTTTCAAACACACTCTCTGGAGAACCGTCTGGCCCGTGTTCGGCTTGCATTTTGAACAGAGGCGTGGGCTGCACATTCATCTGAGTTACAGAAGTTGAGTGTTCAGCTTTCAGGACGTTTATACCAAGCACTTTGTGTTGGCAGCTGCTGCACAACATCCAGAGCACTGATCTGTAGAAGTGCCAAGAAGCCCCACCAGAATCTCTCAGTGCTAACATGTGTAAACAAGCTTGGGACATTGCAACTCCACTCCTCCCTCCAGTTCCTTTTTTCTTAAAGAACTGAACCCAACTTCAAATAAAAATTCAAGGTGTCGAGCACTTCCCTTTACCATGATCCAGATCTTCTGCTACTTCTTGAGTGCACACTATAGGGTTAAACATAACTCCAGGGTCAGGCTGTTTCCCACTCCTCTTGCAATAGAGTAACTCTCGTTTTCTCTGGAATACCAGACGTTAACTGCAGTTTCACCTCTCTCCTGGTTCATAACAGACTACAAGGTACCTGATTTAAAGGTGCAGCTGTTCCCTGACAGTATAAAACCACATCCTGTACCCTCCCTCCTCAGAACAGCTTTCAGCCCAGCAGCGAGACATGAGACAACAAGCAGAGAAACCCAGGCGGGGACGAAGCATGCACTCTTTGCAATCCCTCCAGGGGGCTACCACCAGAGGGGCAGGAACTGCTCACAGCGCACAGGAAAGAGCCATTTAAAAAAGAAAATGAAGAGAAAAATATGGGGAGGGGGAAGAAAGGGTCCTGAGAAGCTTCCTTCCAACTGTACTGAGCCACAGCAAAGGAGAGCAGCGCATTGTGTAAGAGCAGCTAGGCAGACTCAGAGCAGCAGCACTCGCATAGCAGCAGATAACCCACAATGACCCTTGCAGGCACAAAACCCTGCAACAAAAAAAAAAAAAAAAAAAAAAAAAGGAAGCCAGTAAAAAACACGTTTGGCTGCTGCAGGTAAGACCCAGGTCCCAAGTTCTGACTCATTTCTTCCAATTCAAGTTGCCCCTGCCCCCAGCCCGCGACTCCCTCGTGCCAGCCAAGAGCACCCGGGCACCTTCGAGTCGGAACCACAGGGTGAAAACCAGAGGGATCTGAACCCTGTTCTGCTTCAGCCTTCTATCCCAGCGGGGCCGTGTTTAGGAAAGGTCAATTCAAAAACAAACAAACAAAAAACGACAACGAGGAAAAAAACGGCGTTGAGGATTCACCTTAATCTCCTCTTCTCCGCGATGCTCAGCGGGTACTCCCTGGCAGGGCGCGCAGCCAGCTCGCCTCCCTCCTGCTCCAGCGCCCAGGGCTGGGTGGCGGCGGGTCCGTGCGGGGCCGCCCGGCGCTCCCGGGTCCCGCCGCGCCGCCGCCGCGCCGACCAGCTGGGCAGCTCCTGCAGGAAATCCACAGGTGCGGCGCCGCGCGGATCCTCGGCCGGCAGCAGCCCTGCGAGGGGAGAGGAACGGGGGCTGCGGGGCGAGGGTCGCCTCAGCAGGGCACCCGGGGCCCCGCGGCGCCGAGCGGGTCCCGGCCCGCCCGTCCATCCCGGCCCGCCCGCCCCGCGCCCTCACCGCTGCCCCGCTGCCATCCCGGCGGCCCCGCGGCCGCCCCGGCTCCGCTCATGTCCGCGGGGGAAGCCGGAGCCCCGCGCCGGTGCCGCCGTTTCCGGGCGCGGCGGGGCCGTGGGGCGGCGGCTGCCGCCCAGAGCGAGGGCGAGGCCGCCCTCGGGGCCGCCTTCCCCGCACCGGGGCCGCCTTCCCCGCACCCCGCCCGCCGGGCTCACGGCTCCCGAACGCCGGGCTCTCCGCTCCTCTCGCTTGTTTCTGAACTCGAGGTGCGCAAACGCGTGCTGTGCAGGGTACACCAGCAGCTCACCCTCGTTGCAATGAGGCAAGGCTCACGCACCCCAGGTGCGGGGCTCTGCGTGTTGTGGCTGCTGGGCATCTCTCACCGACGCTTGTCCCGGCAACTGGCTTTGTTTCAGTGTCTTCTGTTGCTGTTAAACGCCCGCGCTGGTGGTGGGTGCTGTAAAACTTACAAACTCTTGACACTTGGTCAGCTCTCAGTAGGTCACGAGCCCGAGGTGTCAGCTCTTTCTGAATGACTGGATCCAGTGGAAACAGCACAGCTTCACCCCTGACTGTGAAAACTCAGTATGAACTGGAGCAAGCAAAGTAGATGCTGGATCTCTTTTTCCGTCTGAGGGCGAGGAGTTTGCGTTAGCTTGTACTAAACATCTCAGAGAGATTTATTTCTTGGAATAATTCTTGCCTTTTGTGTGAAAATAACAGCATGTGTGACCAAAAACAAATGAAACCTCTAGTAGGTTCAGCAGCTTTAGGTGCTGGGTGAAAAAAAACATAACTTCTAGCATTTCTTACTGTGTTCTACTGGTAGTTAAACTGATAAACAGCTTTTTCTGAACCTTCCTCATCCACTTTTTGCCATACTTTTAAAAATAAGATATTATTAGGTTTCAGAATGCTGAATCAGACATAAATGAACACGTTGTTCTGTTACATGTGTGTCATCAGCTCAGGTATATGATTTTCAAATTGCTTTATTAGCAATAAGAATCTTTGTGGATCATCTGTTTTCATAATAAAACAATAAAATGTTATTGATAAAATTGATAAAAATGTAGGCTCTCAAAGTAATTTAGATGTACATGCTTATAATCTGTGTTACTGGCAGAGGTGAAAGATGTAACTTAAGGGGAGTTGTTGTGAAATACAGAGACATGGAATTAAAGCATATCAACTTCCTTATTGCACTGAATGACTTAAGAAAACAAACCACGAAACCTACCTTGTAGGTGTTCTTACCTTCATACCAGTAGGTTGGTCTTTGACAATTGGACTTGATGACCTCAAAGGTTTCTTCCAACCTTGATGATTCTATGATTCTATTCCTAATACGTTTTTTAGCTATTTTTGATGAGAACAAGTTATAACTTGCCCTCATGCTTCAGTAAGTCACTCTGAAGGCCTGTTGCTTTTTTCCCTTCTCGTTTTCCCAGATCTCCAGAGTGGTTTTGCCCAGGTGGTTTTTTTTTTGTATAGCAAAGGCTGATGCTGTGAGAAAGTGTTTGTAACAGACAGATCCTTCTGCAGGATGGGTGTGTTGGTAACAGAACTGGACACCTCAGTGAAGTCCGTTTGCACAGGTGATTCTGGTTCCTTGGCTGAGCCCCACATTTCATGGAATTCATCTGAACAACTGCCAGTTGGTCATTCTGGAAAACTCAGGGGATGGAAATTGAAACAGTAGCAACCCTGAAAAATCATTGGGTGTTGTTCAGCTTTCCGGCTGAGTGTGTGATTCATATACTGAATATGAACGTGCATTATACCAGAGAGCCTAAGTACCTACTTCTACTGGTCCCTTGAAGCCACCCAAGCATGGGCCATCTTTCAGTGACTGTGAACACAGAGCTGGGCCAGCTCTACCCTAAATAGGAATATTTATGGGGTAAGGCTTCCCTAGAAGTGTCATCTGGAGTGGCAGCTGGCTTTTTGTTTATGTTTCTTTTCTTACCACTAAGAATACAAAGAATAAAGGTCAGTAATACACTTGCTGCTTAATTAGACTCTTTCTGAAACTCCATGTTCTAGAAAAGTATTGGGTTAATGACCCCATGAGAACAAATTTAAATAAAGATTGGAGGAATTGAAACAAGATTGACTTCCCCAGGAGTTTTGTGAGAACATTCTCTAATCTATCTTTTTGTTTGTTTGTTTGTTTGTTTCCAGTGAGAAAGTTTTTAAGACACTTGGAAGTGTTTCAATGAATTTAATGGATCACAGCAATCTCAGGTGAAAAAGCAGGAATACAGGCATGCTAAGGAGAAGAGAATGGATGATTCTGTGGTAAATTCCTTTTGTGTGTTGTTTGTCCAATCCACCTTGTTCGCAAAAGCAGCAGCTCTCAGCCTGTGCTGAGCATGGAAGCCAATGCCATGTACTGTTTCTCAGGATGCTGGGAAACCATCTGACACATTTAGTAACACCATTTCCAGGACACTTTTTCTTTCATGTGGTTCCTCTTCCTAATGCCACAGCTCCAAAATGCTTCTAAATGTTTAGGAAAGTTCTGAGTGATTGTTTTGAATTTTTGGGGGGCAACTCATGTTCGACTACCCTGGTGCTTTGGGCTGTGTCCTGTGCAGCAGGGAGGCAGCTCTGGATCAGTGCAGGAGATCTGCAGACAGGTCCTCTGCAGTCATGCCAGGAATGTTGCTTCGGGCAAAATGTAATCTTAAAGTAGTATTAGAACACTTCACTGAGGTCTACAGAATGTGTCAGACACAGAATAAACACGTTTTTTGCAGTTGAGGAACTGGAAAGGCACTAGCCATTTGGTAAAAGTGATCATCAGCTGTTACACTGGCACAGTTTCTGAACACAGACCAAATTGATTTATTGCCAGTTCCTCACTGGCTTTAATCCAAAAGGTTGACAGGGGTATTTTTCATTTGTTTGTTTTCTAGTCTTACTGGTCAGAGAAGTTACTTAGGAATAGAAGTTTTAAGATATGTGGTTTTCTGACAGGATAAAATATGCCAAAACATCATAACAGGCTCTACCAACACAAAAGCAGCTGGGGGTCTATAATTCTGTGAAGTGTTGGTAAAAAGGAGAAAGGTAACAGGCAGGCCACAAGTCTGGGACAGCAGATCCAGTCTTGTCCTTATCCTCTTTCCCTCTCCGTCTGTGCCCATCCCAGTGGTGGCTGTTTGGCCCCTCATCCAGTTTGAAGATACTTCTCTTTCCAGAGGACAGCATTGGCCTTCGAGAGGGGCCCTGGACACAGCCTGGCAGTGACTGTTGCATGGTGGATGTGCCAAGGTACCTCCATTCCACTGCAGTGGAGTGAGGGAAGGTGATGCAGACATCCCTGTGAGTGGCTTTAGGACAGAAATTCCTGCAAGAGGCACCACCCCAGCACTTTGACTTCTTTGTGTTGCACCCTGCCTGGTGGCCGACTGTAGCTTAGTCCAGTCCATGGTTTTTCCCATCTCTGTGTGAAAGGGGAAGAAGGAGGGAAAAGAGAAAGACAGGAAAAATCAGTATGTCTGTGTCTCACTAAAAAAGAAGTGCCTTCTGACCCATACAGAGTACAGGAAGGGCTGGTATTAAATTCCCCATCCAGGAACTGCTGATTACTCTCTGTACTGGTGTGAACTAATTTTTTCACCCTTGGAGGAGCCTTCCTTTAGTGCAAGTAAAAATATGTTCTTCATCTCTGCTCTATAAATGATTAATCCAGGGATAAAGGTAACACAGCACACAGCCTGTGTCTGAAGACCGTTTTCCTCCGTCCTTTTATTGTGGTGTTATTGCGATCCTCAGCCCAAAGAAAGCACGTTTAAATTTATGGGGGGCAGAGACTGAACGTCTCGGAACTCATACAGCAACATAGCAACGCGTCCCACGGCAGGGAACAGCAAAGAGCTCCGCGTGGTTGTTTTTCTTGTCCCTCTGCGAGCTGTGCGAGCCGGACCTCAGCTCCCCTTTCCCGGTGCTGCAGTTCCCTGCACGGCCCGTTCAGGGGGAGAAGGGAAGGGAAGCGAAGCGAAGCGAAGCAAAGCCGGCGGACCCCGGTGGCTCCCCCGGCACCGGGGCGGGACCGGGGCGGCGGGAGGAGCCGCCGGCGGGGCGGGAGCGGCGCCGATCCCGGGGCACCTGGCGCGGGCAGCCTCTCCCGGCGGGCAGGTAAGAGCTGGGACGGGCGGCTCCGGGGCTCTGCCGTTCTGGAGCGGCTGGGAAGGGCCGGGAGGGCGGCAGATGGAGCGCTGGGTCCGGGCTGGGTCTGCTCCGCGGCGGGGCTGCAGGGCGGTTTCTCCGTTCACCTGAGGTGCAGGAGCCGCTCGGCACCCCGACAGGTGGCTGCTGCTTAGCAGGCGGCCGCTGCTAGTTCAGAGTGATGGAACCGTAAGGACTGAGCTGCGGGCGTGTCAGGGGTGCACTCGGCTTCTGCTCTCCCAGAGGTGAGCGGCCGCACGGCGCGGTGCCCAGACCGTGGTGTCAGCCCTGCTGCTCGGCACCTCCCGGCTTTATCGCCCCGTTAGTCACATACCAGCTTCCTCTGCCTTCGGCTGGAAGGGCTGGTCCCATGGCGGATAAACAGCCACACGCTTCCCTGATGGATTTAGCAGTGTGCCACACACGGTCTGACCAGCCTGGCTGGGATCACCAGCCTGGAGTGTGACATCTGCTTTCTGTTTGGTGTAGGTTGCATTTTGGTGTGTGCTAACTGGTGTATGGATGTGGCACTGTATTTTCCAAGGAGCAGGTTGTGAGTTTTTCGTGTTTGGAATAGATAACAGGAATCTGTATTAAATAGGTGGGAAAAATCTCAGGTTTAAGTATTCATGTCCTTTATGGTCAGTCATTGTCACTTCCTCAAAACACACAAACTTATTATTTAACCTACAAAGACTGAAACGTTTCTATGCAGAAGACTGAATATTTATCTAAAATCCAAATCATCACATCCAAGATTTTATTGTTAGGTTGCTGTCCCTCTGTTAGTTAAGTGAACCTGCAAGCAGTGGCACTGCGTGGGAGCTGTGCTGACCTCTGCTTCCACTGACCTACTGTCACCATGGTCCCCTCTGCCAACCCAGGGACCAACAG